TGACATATAGTGAGGAAAGAGGGTTTGGAGTATTTGACACTCACAGGAGATATCCAATGAAACATGACCCATTGCACATTTTAGTATTTCCTATATCCATTCCACAAAGTCGTTCCTTGAAGACAGATCACAAATTCTCAACTGGATTTAAATCAGATTTTCCAAGCCAATCGATAGTACTTTGATTTGCTTACTGGTAAGGCTTGCAAGTGTGTTCGCTCAGTGTTACAATTTTCGTAAGCTTCCTTGGAGTAACGTCAATTCCAGACAATGGCCGTAGGACAACTAATCAACAATCGAGACAATAGTGTCTGGGCATGATAAAAATCTGATGTAATCACGGATGACGCAATATTCTTCAAGGCCAAACAAATTTCATCATACACCACGAAAATCGATTCACACCACTGAAAATGACCTAATCTGAGAAAAAAAATAGAAATCGATTACACCTTGTCACTCCATTGGGTGTAAAACTGACCGTATCACGAAAAAAAGGAAACTAAAGCGGTTGTTTCAATTAATTTGCACAAGGGTGTACGTAACGATCTTGCGTATCATAACAGGGAATTGGAAAAATATTAAGAAAAGGATCTACAAAGAATAGGCAGTTGTGGAGAGCCATGATCGGACACCTTCTGAAGCGACACAGCACATAAAAAGGCAGTAATGAAAGAAAAAAATAATAATTTTTCGAAATTTTAAATCATATATCGAAAACTGGAAATTTTGGTAACATCCAAAAATGTCTGGGAATTTTCAAAACGCTCTCAAACCGGACAAATGTAGCATAGAATCTTTCCTGAAATATTTAGTGTAGGTATATACCTCAGTAAAACGAAAAAGCCATGACACATGGATAAAAATGAACTTTAATGAAGTAGTTTTTTTTTTTTCTGCTAATCGAAAGCAGAAAGAATGTAAAAAGAAATCTCATATAAATATTCTTTCGATATTTTAAGCAGAACCGGAGATATTTACGTGATAGAAATCTTATTTAGACTGCTGTTTACCTGTTAAAGTTTGGCTGGTGGAACTAAGGAATATACAGGGTGCCATGGATAAATTGTCGTCTGAATGACGCGAAAATGAAAATAACACTATATATATATTACAGGCTCGAATAATCCAACATGCAAATTACAGATGGAGATACTAAAATGAACAACAATTTATATATCTGGGAAGTGTTTTAACAGAGGACGGAAAGTGCGACACTGAAATCCGAAGACGCATTAGGATAGCGAAAAGGTAACTTACAAAAGTTAAGCAAAGTATTAAGAAATAGTAAATTTTCGTTAGATACATAAAGAAGTATATGGCAGTGAATATTGGACAATTTCCGCACAGATGAAGAAGAAAGGTGAAGCAACAGAAATGTGGTTATTTTTTTTGAGGTTGGTTGGGTGGCAGCTAATGAAATTTAGGTAGCAATGACCATCTTTGGGATTGGTGTTTAGCATAGTGGAGATGTGGTTATTATTTAGACATACCATTTCATCCAGAAACACAATGGAAGTGGTGGAATATTTCATTGTGAATTTGATGGTGTGGTGGAAATTGTTGCATTGTTTTTCTAAGGTCTTGGAGACTGTTCTCGCCATGAGTCCATATAAAGAAGATATCATCTATGTATCTGTGGTAGTTTAGGGGTGCTAGGTGGTATCTACTCAACATATCTTGTTCCAGGGCATCCATGAATATGTTTGTATAGCTGGGAGCCATTTTCATTCTCTGCCTCTGACTTGAAGAAATTTGTGCCGTTTTCTTGATGGTTCTTGAATGGACTTTGACATCTTTTAACAGATATACAGAGTGCGATGGATAAATTGTCGTCTAAATAACGCAACCATGACAATCTGATTTTAACGGATACACAGGGTGCGACGTATAAGTTGTCGTCTGAATGAGGCAGCAATGAAAGTAACACTGACCTGATTTTAACATATATGAGGGTGCGACGGATAAATTGTCGTCTGAATGAGGCAACAATAAAAATAAGACCTGATTTTAACAGATATACAGGGTGCGATGGATAAATTGTCGCCTGAATGAGGCAGCAATGAAAATAAGACCTGATTTTGATACACAGGTGCGACGGATAAATTGTCGTCTGAATGAGGCAACAATGAAGATAACACTGATTTTAACATATATAAGGGTGCGACGGATAAATAGTCGTCTGAATGAGGCAACAATAAAAATAACACCTGATTTTAACATATATAAGGGTGCGACGGATAAATAGTCGTCTGAATGAGGCAACAATAAAAATAAGACCTGATTTTAACAGATATACAGGGTGCGATGGATAAATTGTCGTCTGAATGAGGCAACAATAAAAATAACACCTGATTTTAACATATATAAGGGTGCGACGGATAAATAGTCGTCTGAATGAGGCAACAATAAAAATAAGACCTGATTTTAACAGATATACAGGGTGCGACGGATAAATAGTCGTCTGAATGAGGCAACAATAAAAATAACACCTGATTTTAACATATATAAGGGTGCGACGGATAAATAGTCGTCTGAATGAGGCAACAATAAAAATAAGACCTGATTTTAACAGATATACAGGGTGCGATGGATAAATTGTCGTCTGAATGAGGCAACTGAAAATAAGACCTGATTTTAACAGATATACAGGGTGCGATGGATAAATTGTCGTCTGAATGAGGCAACAATAAAAATAAGACCTGATTTTAACAGATATACAGGGTTCGATGGATAAATTGTCGCCTGAATGAGGCAGCAATGAAAATAAGACCTGATTTTGATACACAGGGTGCGACGGATAAATTGTCGTCTGAATGAGGCAACAATGAAGATAACACTGATTTTAACATATATAAGGGTGCGACGGATAAATAGTCGTCTGAATGAGGCAACAATAAAAATAAGACCTGATTTTAAAAGATATACAGGGTGCGATGGATAAATTGTCGTCTGAATGAGGCAACTGAAAATAAGACCTGATTTTAACAGATATACAGGGTGCGATGGATAAATTGTCGTCTGAATGAGGCAGCAATGA